ACGGCGCGCAGAGGGTGGTGCCGTGTGGCCCGCGGTCGGCCTGGCCTCCCAGGTCTGACTTCTGGTCTGGCCACCAGGTCGCCTTCTAGATGGAGGCTTCCCCTGCGAGGGGGCATCGGGGAGAGCAGAGCTGCTGGGAAGGCGGCTGCTCTGAGCCGGACTCTTTTTTCTTTTGTTTTGGTCAAGGGGCCAGTCTAGATGGGAGTGGTTAGGTCCTGGGGGCTGAAATTGCTCTGCACGATAAAGACTCTAATTTTCAGGATGTGCTTGAGGCTGACGGGAAGCTTGTATTTTGTTTTGGGGGTGGGGGTGGGGGGAGGAGGGAGCCCCTGGGTGAGGCGGGAGGAGAGTTGTCTTCGGGGCAGGAGCGTGAGGTCTCATCTGCACTTTCATAGCCTCCTGCTGGGTGTGATCCTCACCTGTGAGCGGCCCACAGCGCCTGCTGAAATGCGCCCGTGTGCTCGGGGACAGGGTAGAGGGGCCGCGTCCACACCAGGGGAGACGCCGAGTGGACGGAGGGCAGACCAGCACTGGGCTGCCGTCAGGGTTGAGGATCGAAAGGAACATCAGGCAGCAATGAGCACCCCCTGAGGGTCCTTGAAGCGATGGAGAGCCCGGGGCTTCAGGCCAAGGACTTGTGAGCCGTGGGCGGCGCATGCACAGGGTGTTGAACGGAAGAGTCCAGGTTAGGACCAGGCAGCGTCTGCCTAATGGTAGTTCCCCATCCTCATCCCCAAGAGAAAACGTCTTTCCATGACACGTTTTAGACAGAAGTCAGCCCTGGCCGGTGTGGCTCAGTGGATAGAGCATCGGCCTATGGACTAAGGGAAGCAGGTTTGATTCTGGTCAAGGGCATGTACCTGGGTTGCAGGCTCGATCCCCGGCCCCCGTCGCCCCTGTCAGGGCGTGTGCAGGAGGCAGCCAGTTGATGTCTCTCTCATGTAGATGTCTCTCTCTCTGTCTCTCCCCCTCCCTTCTACTCTCTCTAAAAATCAATGGAAAAATATCCTCGGTTGAAGATTAACAAAAAATAAAAATAACAAAAAAAACAAAACAGAAGTCACCTTTGAGTTCAGCCCCGGTCACAAGTGTGAGAATAAGTACATGGAAGCCGAGAGCCGGTTTTCGGACGTTAGGGATCCATTTCACATGACCCCGGTGCCCCCTGAAGGCACGGGGACTTCGGGTCCCACGGCAGGAACACGGGCCCCGGGGCAGGAACAGAAAGCAGCGCTGGTCACGCAGGGTCTGCCGCGTGGTGGACGGGCGTGAGAAAAAGGAACGGGAAGTAACACGCGTGGGGTGTAACCAGACCCGTGACACGGATCGCCTTTCCTCACGAGCCCTCTTGGGCGGGGGGACAGCGACAGGGACGGGGGACTCTGCTCCGAGTCAGGGCCCTGATAGGGCTCAGTTGGCCGGGTGTGGTCCCATGCACGGCGGGGTCGCCGGTTCGATTCCCGGTCAGGGCACATGCCCGGCTGTGGGCTTGATCCCCAGTGTGGGGCGCGCGGGAGGCAGCCGATGGATGTCTCGCTCTCATCCATGCTTCTCTCTCTCTCCCTCTAAAAGTCAATAAAAACATATTTAGGAAAAAAGAAAGGACATAGGTCTCCCCAGTCCTCCAAGCTGCCCCGGGGACCCACAGGAGACAAACGCTTTGCACCCAAAACCTCGTTCCGGTTTCTCACGAAACTTGTTTTCGCCCAGAGGACTTGTGCAGTGGCCACAGGACTGTGTGGGAGGGGGACTCAACAGCTTGCTTACGTCCCGGAGCCCAGAGCGAGCAGGTTAGATTCCTGGATTGTCTCAAGTTTCGTTCTCTGCAGGGGACCCGCCACCCTTGGTGGGGCAGCGACAGGAACGCTGGCCCAGAGTTTCCAGGCGCGGTTCCTGCGCGCACGCACTTTCTGTTGTGGGACTCGCTGTTGCTCAGAACTCGCCTGGGGGTTTCCTCCCGCCCCGCAGGCTTCCTCTGTGGTGGGGGGACCTCGCTTCTCTCCTGCGGGGGCTCCGGCTCGCAGTTTCCCCGCGAGGTGTTAGGATTCTCTTTCACATGCTTTCGTGACCTTACAGCGTTCTCAGTATCGCCAGTGTCTCCTCTGGTCATGTTTTGCTTTTATTTTTATTTTTTAAATATATTTTTATTGATTTCCGAGAGGAAGGGAGAGGGAGAGATAGAAGCATCCATAATGAGCGAGAATCATGGATCGGCTGCCTCCTGCACGCCCTACCCTGGGGATGGAGCCCGCAACCCGGGCATGTGTCCTGACCGGGAATCGAACCGTGAGCTCCTGGTTCATAGGTCGACGCTCAACCCCTGAGCCACGCCGGCCAGCTCTTTTTTTAAATGTAAGACACGGTGAGCTAGGATGTTTTATTAAAGGAGTTGGAAATGCGAGCAGCTGGAGGTCCCGAGTCTGGAGCCGAGTGGACCTGCCTTTGGCTCCTCACGGGCGGGTTTGGTGCTCCCCTGACCGCCAGCTGCGCCCCCAGCGAGCCTGCAGGTGGGGGTTGCTCAGCACGCAGCTCCCGGGAACTGTTTGCTGGGACAATCGCCACCGGCTCAGCTCGCACTCGTCATCACAGCGGCCCTGCCGATACCCGGGGAGGCCCGGCGGTCCTGAGCGGCAGCCACCCACAAAAACCACACAGCATTTTACTCAAAACTAACAAGTCCTTTGTGATGCAAAAGTGGTGGAATTTTGGGTACTTTCTGTAAAATCGAAATCTTCATGGGGATTTCCAGCCTTCGAGGCGCTTGTTAACAAATGATGCGCAGAAGGAAGAGGGAGCGGAGCCTGCCCACCAGCATCTCCGCGGGTTTCCGAGGGGAGGGCGCCACCTCCGCGCGGGGGAGCTCCGCTTTCACAAACGCAGTGAGGCCAGAGGTGTTTGCATGAGGTTTGCTTGTGAAACAGAGATTGTAGGAGCTTCTCTCTGCCAGTGTTTGGTCCTGACAAAGTCTTCACAGCCAGTACTTTCAGGGGTAGATCCCCCGAGGAAAGGGCTGGAAACACCAGGCCAGGCAGTGTGGCCGCAGGGCTGGGAGGAGGACCCGGGAGCCTGGGGGGAGCCGTGGCCCTTGGCTGGGAGGGCGGAGCGAGAAGGAGGCGCTCCTTTGGAGCCGGGCCAGGCCAGTTCCTCGGCCTCAGCACCCACGTTTCTCTCTGCTTGGTGGCTGGCGACAGAGCTGGTCGCCAGAGCTGTCAGGAGTCCCCTGTTCCGATCCCTGTCTTAAAGCTGACGCTTACTGTCACCTAGCACTTGAGCCTTCTTTCAAGCACATTTTGTTTTTTAAAACCTGTAAAAGCATTATTTCAGCAAAACCCGGCCCTGTTCTGTGTACAGGTGCCCCTTCTGTAGTTCATCTTCCTGAATCCCTGTCTCCGCAATGGTCAGGTGCACGTCTCATGATTCGCCTTAAAGTAACCGCAGGCCTCGCCTCACTGCCCTGGCCTCCCTGCGCGACCCAGGCGCTGCATGGTCAGCCCACAGAGGCAGTGCCCTCCGCCGGCAAAGGGTTTTTTGCGGGGTGGGGGGCCGGCCGCAGGCGTGGTCCGTGCCCACAGCGGCGGGGGTCAGGGCCTTAACCCGGTTCCCGATGAGCAGACTCCGTAGCTCCCTGGGAAGACCTGGGTGAGTCCCCGGCACAGAAAGCAAGCTGCGTGTGGTGGCTGCAGAGGCCGAGCCGCGGCAGCGCCCACATTCACACCAGCGCCCGCTGTACGTTTATGTCCCGCGGCGTCCACACCGGGCGGCAGGGCAGCCTCCCGGCAGCGGGTCAGCCGTCATTTCCAGAACAGCCGAGTGAGAATCGCCTGGACCTCGGACCTCGGGTAACGGACCAAGGACACTGACTCGATGTTTAAAGATGAAATGGCAGTTATTTCCCAAAGCCCAGGGGGACGGTGAGGAGAGCCCCACGAGCCCAGCCCGGCCTGCACGAGGGGCAGGTCCCCCCTTGGACGGGGCGGGAGCTTTGTAAGACCCTCAGGCTCGCAGGACCCTGGCCGCGGCCAGGAAGGACAGCCACGTCGAGGTCCAGCGCGTGCGAGGGCCTGGGCGCCCGGCGGCGGTCACTGCGCTCGCCGCAGCGTCTGCACGGACAGGTGGGTAGTGGCTCTGGACTCACCTGGTCCCCAACCGGCTGTACCTTAAATCGCCCCCAACCACCACTGGAGCAGCCGCCGCTGCCGCCCCGCCCCGCAGGAAGCCACCAGCAGCCACTCCATGGTCTGCATCGTTTATTAAATATTTATCCTCACACAGGCATTTACAGACGTCACTCGCTAGACATCTGCTTTCAACACATTTTTAAAACTTTTTTTTTGCAGAAGAGTCTCTTGTAAAATGAGATCCAGGTACAAAACTCAGCAACAGTCTCCTCTCACACTCTCCATCCACCCGCAGGAGAATCCATGTGACAAAGAAAGAAAACCCAAACGAGGCTCTTTCACAAGAACCACGTGTCAGTGTTCAGCGCGGAGCTCTCACGGGACGAGCCCCTTCATCTCTCTGTATGGCAACACCTCGCAGCTCCCGCAGCACGTAGGTTCAGATGAAGGGAAAAACCACCTACCGTTGGGACTAGATAATCTAGGGACCATCGATGGCGTGTTTTATAGCACGACACCAACATTCGCCAGGAGCGGACATCGATTGGCCAGCGGGATGCATTGACCCCTTTAAGGAAGTCTATTAACTTCACAAGCTAACGTCTGAGCCTCTAGTTTAGCTCTTAGGCAAAGAAATAGTTTAAACGATCCATTTGGAAGCTTAAAAGGATCTTTGAAGCTGAAGTTGCTCCTCTTAAAACGAAGGCGGACTTGCCGCTTCGGAGGCTTGGGGCGCCGACGCCACCAGTGACGGCCAACGGTGTCCCCACAGGAGCCTCCGTGGCACAGCCGCCCAGGCCTGCGCGCCCCGGCACTACATTTTGGCAGCAGCATCGTTAGACATTTATCACATAATATGAACACGCCAGCTTCTACGACGCGGGCTCCCTCCGGGACGCTCGGGGGCTACAGAGTCACTGTGATCGCGTAACCGTATTGCACAGTTTATAAAAAACATAAATACTGGCTATTCTAGATTTAAATACAAAATACATGTCCTATAGCTTTAAATCTATACTCTGGTTCAAGTGCAAATCAGGTGCTTTCTGTAGTCCTTTCCAAAAAAGGCATTTTTAATATATTTTGGCACAAATGAAAGGTCACCGTGCCAATTCTAATTACAATACGTACATCCAACCTCGAGAGTAGCGATCATGTACATCCAGTATAAACGGAGTATTTACAGACGCCCTCGGCGCAGCCGGAGCCGCGCGGGGCGAGTGGGGACGCGCCGCCCCCACGCCGGGGGTCAGGGAGGCGAGTCGGCCGCCCCGGCGCTCACGCGGGCTGCTGGGGGTTGGCGTTCATGTGCGGAGGGTGTCCCAGGAGGCCGATCCGCTGCTTCTGCTTCCTCTGTTCTGTCATCTGGAAAGTCAGAAAGTTTCCTCATCAGCCCAGACACTTCCTGTGCGTCAGCTCCTACGGCGAACCGTAGGTTTACCTCTGTGGTTATGGTTTGTACTGAAACCCACTTTCTACACAGACTGTATCTCTCACACACGCAGGCGGCTTCAGAAAGAACCCGCCCGGCAGGTGGGGAATTCTGGGGCACTCAGAGCATCGCCTGCGGCCCTTTCACCAAGAAACGACAGACAGGAAAGGCACGGGGCGCTCGGCCGCTTCCCAGACCCCCTTCCCAGTGGCGTCCAGACTCCCCGGGAGGCGGGAGCTTCCTGCGCAGAGCGCGTCCGGCCCCAGGCCTGGGAGGCTCCCGGGTCCTCGCTCCCCAGGCAGACCCAGAGGCAGTCCTAGCACCGCCTGCCCCCCCCCCCGCCTCGGTTCTCCCATGGGTGGGTGTCTGGGTCCGCCCGGGTGTCTCGGGACAGACTTCACTCTCTGCATTAGCTGCCGTGGGTCTCAGCCCAGTTGGTCCCAGCCCTGGACTGGATGCGGGCGCCTACGTCCATGAAGACGAGAAGGCGTGTGACATGCTCGTTAGCTAACGTGGCCTCCGCTTCCTCAAGTCCGAGGAAGTCGGGCGGAGCAGGGAAAGGAATTCGGGCTTTGGCATCAGACCTGCTTCCTGCGGTCTGACGTTGCCTCAGTTTCTCCCGCCGCACCGTCGGGGCGATTCCTCTCGGGAGCGGGAGGGCGTGTGCATGTCTTAGGACAGTGTCTGTCTGTCATGGGGTCGACGCTTAAACCTTGGTTTTTGCTCGGACTAGTTTTTGGCACAAAATATCCCGAGGAAACAAAGCGGGGCCCTTTTCTTATTGAAAACAGTTTTCACATCGGAGTCCTGTTCCTAGGCCCCTGGGAAACGCCTTGGTTGTGATTTAGCAGGAGTCAGCGTTTCCGAAACGGCGCTTCCCACACAGCTTTCGTAAAGGACACGCAGGACACCCCCAGGCCCTGAAGGCTCCCCAGGTGAGCGAGGAGAAGGGAAGTGTCAGGACAGTGCCCTCCCCACAGGGGGGGGGGCGGGGGGAGGAACAGGGTGGCTTAAATCGTTACTGTTGCCAACTGGGAGTGGGGGAGGGGTGCTTTGCTCCGCACACCAGTGTGAGGCGAGGGAGCCAGCGCCCCCCGCGGGGTAAACGGTGCACGAGATCACACTCAGTGCCCTGCATCCCACGGGCGAGCAGCATCGCTACGTAGCACTCGGAATAGCACAGTGGTTCTCAACCTTCTGGCCCTTTA